CGCATCACCAAGCAGATCGGGTCCTGTCCGGGCCTGGGAACGCGGGAGATAAGGAGCTGCCCTCAGAGGCTCCACTCCCAGGGGAGGTAGAAGCAGACAGCTGGGTGCGGGGGGCACAGCTGGAGCAGGCGGGGGACCTGCAGTGGGAGCGATCGTGGGTGAGACGGCTGAGGACAGACCTCGACCCTGACCTTTGAGTAGAGACTCGGGAGCCGAGGGGGTGAGTCAGGAGGGTTCTGGGGCAGCCGGGTTTCGGGCAGCAGGAACCAGCAGGGAAGGGCCCCCGGGCAGAAGCAGAGAGGCCCTGGGGCCAGCGGGGCAGGAGGTAGGAAGGACTCGGGTCAGAGGTGGCAGGGCCTCTGCGGGGACCCGGCTTCTACTTGGATGAGGGAGGCCGAGGCGGGGCTTGAACAGAGGAACGCGATGGTGACTCATTTTGAGAACAGACCGAAGGGGACAAGTGTGGAGACGGGGAAACACTCAGGAGACGCAGGAACCCTGGTGAGGGGCGGGGCAGCAGCCGCCCAGTGTTCATGACACGCAGGAGGGAGAATTCCCGTCTCGGATAGACTGGCAGCATCCGGGGATGTTAGTTACTCCTGATGTAGAAAAGTTATTTCTTATCAGATAGTGATGTTTTTTACAATATACTTTAACTGATTTTAGAGAGCGGGGGAGAGAGAGAAACATCAACGTGAGAGTCCTGATGGCTGCCTCCTGCACGCCCCCTACTAGGATCGAGCCCGCGTCCCGGGCCTGGGCCCTGACTGTGACCTCCTGGTTCACAGGTCAACCCTCAGCCACTGGGCCACGCCGGCTGAGCAATAGTGATATTTTTGAGAACAGAAAACAAACTGACGGTTGTCACGGGAGGGGGTTGGGGCCAGGTGGAAAGGTGAAGGGACGGAGCAGACCAGCGGGCGGTTACGGAGCAGCCCAGGTGGGTCACAGCACAGGGAACAGCGTCCGTAACGTCACCGTGACTGTGTGAGGGGCCCGCTCCGTGAAGTACAGGGCGCTCTAACCACTGAGCCGTCCGCTGAGGCTGGTGCGGAGCCATAGTGCGTGCAGACGGAGACCGGAGAGGAAGCGAATGAGGCGTCCTGTCTGAGATGTTACGGAAGTTACTTCTTGGTGACGATGTTTGTTACCAAGGGCTTAACTTGCTTCTCTGTGTAGCTCTATGTTTCCTCTATTTTCTACACTAAAAATAATGTTTGTAAT